ATGAGCATTTGAAATTTAAATTTTTACAACATTGGATTTTCACTTTTAGCGATTTCCTTATTTTGGTGTAACTCTAAAACAAATGACCGCAGATACTTGAAATATTGTGTTACAAATACTAAATAACTAAAGAATTACTGTTTCTGTGTTAAAGTTTAAAATTAACTTAGTAAATAGCAAGTTATTAACTTATTAACTAAATAATTTCACTAACCTTCCCAGTCTTTAAAACAATATTTTATATTATACATAAATGTATAATTATTTTAATATTTGTCAAATTCTGTTTCAGAATTTCAATGGCTGTGATGAAAATTAAAAACCTAAAATATTTTTACCACTGTGATATAGATACTTGAAAATATATAGATAACCAATAATGTACATTGACGGTTTTTAGACAATCCTCTAAAATACATTTTACAAAGGATACCAATAGAATTCTAACTTCTTGGCACAGCGAAGTTAAATGCACGTCTAAGATTTCAGACACTACAACAGAATATTGTTTTTATAAATAAAGCATTTAATTTCAAAAATATATAATCAAATTTAAATAACACTTGTAACATGAAATATAAATACATTTCTTTAAGATAAATTACATAAATATTTATCAAATATAATAAAAATATAATTTACTAGGTATATAGTGGTAGTTTACTTGTTACAATATAAACGGCCAACACCGCCAATATAATATGTTGTTTGGGCAAAAACACTTTGGACGATAATAAGTCTGTTTGTAGTACAAAACAATAATTTAATTTACATCGTATAATCTACATTAGCATAGCGTATAATTTATCAATGATCGAAAAAAATGGACGTTTTTTTCTCATTTTAAGTATATAATATAATATATAATAATAAATAGTAAATATCACATGATTATTGCGAAATCAATATAAAAATTAAATTCTGCATTAATAATAACAACAAAAAAGCATCATTTTTTTATCACACAGATAGGTATTATATAATATTATATATGAAATTAAAAAAAAACATTATCTAAAATATTATGTGTTTTAATGAATAACTTTGGTTGCCATTCAATAATCATAACGCGTGTAGTTACTAATTTTAGTTGTTTTAACTTCCGAAAGCGACGGAGCGTACTCAAAAATTTGATAGGTCGGCATAGAGGCATACTCAAACAGGGATACTCTGTGCTACAAATTTCGTTCGATTTACTATATAAATATACAAATAAATTAACGTWCACGATATATTCATATTATGATGYACATATTATATATATAACAAAAATCGCATTGCATATGTTATATGATATAATAATATTATATGTACAGTCGAGTACGATTTTTTTCGTGTGTTGGTGGTTGTGTCTACTATATATTATAATGTACACAGGATTCCTGTTTTTTTTTCGTCTGTCACTAAATATCTCGTTTTGAGGGCGGAATTAAGTGATCGGGTATTTCGACGGGTAGATCGTGCCCACCCAGCTTCACTTGTATCAGATGCATTGCCAACGCAAACTCGTCGATGTCCAGAAAACCGTCATGATCGATGTCCGATAACTTCCATATTTTGCCGAGCACAGAGTTGGGCAGTTTCGATTTGACCATTTCGGCTTTAGCCACTGCGAAAAGAATGAGAAAAACTTGGTTAGACCATCCCACACTGTCTCACATATAAAAAAATAATCGTCTCCATAGCGACGAGGAGGTTAGACTTCAAAATTCAATACCCACAAAAAGTTAATCTGGTTTTAAACCCGAAACCTGCAAACAATTTTAACCGGTTTTATCACGATACACTAAACCCGCAAAAAATTGTACCTGGTTTGCAACATGAAACCCGAAATATTTTAACCCCTTTTGCAGACTACCTGGATTAAAGATTAGATGATACATGATAATTGAACTTCAGTACTTCACAACTTTCAACTTTTGATCCACTGCACATTTATTTTAAACTATACTTGTACGTAGATAAGTGGATACTTTATTCGTTTTTGACGTACCTACTTATTTTATGAAAAACAACTGTAAGTTCCAAATAGGTACCTACATATTTACTTCATAGTTTTTAAATCTATTTTATAGTAAATTAAATTCATAGCCCTAGCTTTATATGAYATRTAATTTCGTACCGGCTCCCGACAGTTTTCCGTCAGACTTCTCCAGCGTGTTGAACACCGCATCGTATTTCTGCCGTTCCTTGGCCACCACCCAACCAGTTTCGCCCTTGCCAGCGTCGATACCTTCTCCCCTCTTGTACCCGAACGGACTGGCCGTGTCCTGGACGCTCATGAACGCGCCACCTACAAAGTGAACACGAATGTCATTATTGTTAATGATAAATATGATAAATTCAATGTTATTGTTGGACATCGTTGAACCACATCATAGTTGAAACACAACACTATGATAATTAATGATGTATTATTACTGTATTAGTATATTTTCGATTTTTACGGCCTATGCGAAATATGGGGTATGAGTGAGGGTTAAATGTAAACAAAATACTAACCCTTCAAATATGTTAAGGAAAAGTCAACAAATTATGGATTTAATAAAMAGCTGCCACGTTTTGGAAAGAATAAAATTAAAAACAAAATAAAACCAAAAATATCTAAAAATAACACTTATTGTATTGAATCCCGGAATAAAAATTTCCGACCCTTTGGAAAAAAATCCCTAGAATTGTGAATCTAAATTGAATTTAGCCAACGAATTAGGTAGGTAGTATTCTATACGACGTAAATAAACTACCTATATAATAATTATTGGTAAAATAGAAATTTCAGAAATAAAATTATATAATTATGCTTAGAAATTATTATGAAAGACAAAATCTAAATGGCTATCTATAGAAAAGAACGATTTTGAGTTAAACATTTGAACATCTAATATTTAATGAAAAATTTCAATATTTTGTATTATTAGCCAAAAGAACCTATATTATATAGTCAGAATGGAATCAATAAAGCCCGTTGAATTTATTTTAAAATGTAATCTTATAATAAGTTAATCAATTTTTTAAAGAAGTAATGTGTTTTTAAAGATTCACACCCAGAAAAAAATGTTTTATTTTTAATGAAAAACTATTAAAAATTTTTTATGGAAAATAAGTATGATTTGGAGTCTATGAAATTCATTCGTTAAGTTATGAATATATAATCTGCAATATTGATATTTTTTAACTATAAATTCTTAACTAACCTTAACTGATCACAATACCTAATACTTAGGATCATTTTAGGAAACATCCATATATTTGAGGAAATTTGAAGTTTTCTCGAGCATTATATTATTAGATATGAATATGAAAACTTGAAAAAATCAAAATAATACCTTTGACTACCGCTTGCTGTTGTTGCTGCTGTTCGACGTCTCCATTATTCATCTTACGGTTATTCATGTCTTGCAAAGGGATCATAGCCATCAACTTAGCGATGTCGTTGGCAAGCATCTTATCAACCTCTTCTAACAGATGCGGTTTAAGACTTTGGAATTTATTAAAATCTAAGTTCACCAGTACATCCTGAAAAATAATATACCTTTAGGCTATAACATATCATAATACGTAAACAATACGTATATACCTAATACAGAAATCGATAATATTCTTACAAACCTGCATTTTTTTGAGATCGGGGAAATCTCCTGGCGAAATCTGTTGTTCTTTCTGAATATTTTGGTAAATAGTGCCAAGGTTTTTGATCAATTCTTTTTTCTTGCCATCTCTCCTAAAAAGAGCTGGCATTTCTTTATGTAACGCACTGATTATATAAGCGTGAACCTGTAAACAACGGAAACGGTTTTTTAAGGAAACAACTATCGCTAGTGATATGTGCCACATTTCGGATTTCAATAGTGCATGACGTTCGAGTTCTATCAATAATAATTACTTTGGCTAATCTTGCGCGTTTAATCAAGTCATTTAGCTTCCTTAACGCCGCGTTTCCCGGCAAAGACTGCAGGTCCTTRAATAAGTCTTGTTCTTCGTCTTCAAATAATCTACAATATACACAACAGCTTATTAACATCATATACGTGTGAGGCGTTTGTACATTTAAGATTGAAAACCTATTGTATAAAAATAAATCGCAAGAAATTTCTTCACTAAAGTAATAAAGTGAATTAGCAAGAATAATTTTATCCATTTCACAGGTCCTTTTTGTTCAGTGAAAAATAAACGTATATACGGGTACCTATTTATATTAAAATTATTCTATAAAACCATACATAACAGATTATTTATYTATAACCGACCGACTCTGCCATGATATTAACATAAATAACTATATTATATATACACCACAAGTAACTACCTAACTCAAGATCATAATATCATGATTTTTAGGTACTACTGTTACTGTTACTACTGGTACCTACCTAATAAATAAGCGATTAGTTTAAAATTTCAAATAATAACAATAAACTCTGAAGTATTGGGCAATGTACTTCCAGTGCTGCATAATATGGTGTATTGTTATTTATTTTATTAGATATAGGTCATAAATGGTATTTGGGACATTATTGCCCCTCAATATTATAAGGCATTTCCACTCGTACCAATTTATGTCCTACTTTCATTATTATATTGTTTTTCACAAATCGATACGTTTACCATCCATTTTAACTGTTAAAAGAACACACACTTCAGTAAGTCACTATAGTAATTTTATTTTTTCGAAATAAACCAAATGCACCAATTAATTTTTATAATTTTGAAAAAAAAATAAAAATATTTTTAGGTATTTATTTATATTTTATTAATCTAAAGCTTTGGCAATAGTTTCTATTGTTTCTAACAAAGTTTCTAACGAAGTTTTAAATGAATATAAAATAATATAAGAGGAAAATTAAATAATAAAGAGGTTTTAAATAAATTGTGTTTTACAACTAAAAAAGTTATATAGAACTCTTTGTAGACATTAATTATAATATTTCTAGACTCAAGTTCAGTTCTTTTAAAAAATCAGATACTATTTTCTGGTTAGCAATCGGAACAGATTATTTCATATTTAATTTCCCTGCAGGTACCTTTATGTTAAGCTTTTTTCTTTCTACATCGTTGGAGTTGTATTCAGTCATTATATGTTTCATTATTTATAAAATTCAAATGTTTGTATAAAGTGTGAATCATTTTGTAAAAATATATGGTGTTGTAAATACTTTAAACTATTTGACTATTAATAAGTGTCAATCAAATTCATAAATATTATATTACAACAGACATTTAACGGGTGAATAATAATAATAGTTTTCAACAGAATACAGATATGCATATTATGTCCTACAAGGGAAAATTTTTCATCATACATTTTCGTTTTATTGAAATGAAAACAGGGGAGTGTAATTTTATTCAAATAATCTTATAGGAGCGCAATATTACAATAATGCGTCAATAATTGTGACGAAGAAGTGAACAATAATTGCGAATTGTAAGCTATGCGTGTATTTAATACGGTTGTAATGATTTACATAAAAAATTCGTATGAATTGCGTAACAATTATTAACAATTTCAATGAATTTTTATAAATGCGATAAAAAAATAAAATCATTTCTTAGAATATCTATTATAATAGAAGTATTACCTCTTCGTGGTACTTTATTGTTATTGGCTAAAAAAAATTAATTGCTACAGTCTGCCTATACAGATCACTTCAGATCGTTTATAAATACAAGCCAAAATCATTATATTAAACATGCAATCATAATAATAGTAACAGGTAATGGAATACATACTACAGTAATAAATCACAAACAAATAGTAAATACTTTCAGAAAATAGATAGTGATTTCTGGACAAAAACAGCAATGTCAATTGATTCTGTAAGCAGTATCTATAATAGATAATCCTGCTCCTTTTTACACACATCTGTTTAACTAAAATATAATCAATATATTTTAGTATTAATAAATGAAAATTATATTGGTCGTCATTACAATTTTTTTAAGTGTTACACGTTGATATAAGGTTGAGAACAAGTGGGTTACAATAATAAATTATTTTTCCTCATGTAACATAATAAGTAATAACTATTAGTTCCAACAGAAATATGTAATAATTTATTTAGGTACCAGCACCAGCGCTCAGTGACCACTACTCCTGTGCTTATAATTATAATAAAAGTTTTCTATCATTAAATCGTATTCAAGGAGTGCAGTTTAATTTATATCGTATCACACTTATAGGGGTACAAAAAGTCAAGCATTAGATGTAATGTTAAATATTAAATGGAATTCAAATTTATGATCAAAGAACTAGGAACGAGCTTGTTTAGTGGCGCAACTAAGTCTATTATCAGGGTTATAATTTTTTAATTATTTTTTTTTCAGTGATGTACTTTTATAAAGAGTTTCATTTCAAAGAAAATTAGATTCTTTGGTAGATGTACCTAGTCAACTTAATTTTAAACGATTTTTAATTTATTTTACCAAATGTATTACCATTGATTATATAATATTATATAGACTATTCTATATTTAATCAATCGTATTACCTATATTTATTACTAATTATTTTTATTTTTATTTTGTAAACAGATGGAATATACAATAAGGTGTAACAGATAAAACTGACTTTTRGAATAATTTTTGTTCAAATGAATATTTTTATTTATTAAGTGACCGTGTTACGTACGGGGTTGGTAAATTGAGTCCCAAATGACTCTAACTCGGTAAATTGAGTCCCGGGGAAAAATAGGTAGTAGGTAAGTCGAGTCCCAGAAAAAATAAGGTAATAGGTAATTGGAGTCCCAGGGAAAAACTATTTATATGCATTTAAAATTTAAAAATATACACTATAACATTTTTATTTGTGATTTGTGGACATTCATTGACTGCATGCATATGATTTTTAATATAGCAACATGCATTTTTATTAATTACATAATTTTTTTTTATGCAATAAAAATGCATGTTGTTATTTTCAAAATCATATACATGCAGTCAATGAATGTCCACAAATCACAAATAAAAATGTTAAAGTGCACATTTTTAAATTTTAAATGCACAAAAATCGTTTTTCCCTGGGATTCAAATTACCTATTGCCTTATTTTGTCCGGGACTCAACTACCTACTACCAATTTTTTCCCCGCGGGACTCAATTTGCCGCTTTCAAAATGTACCAAACTTATATCGGACACAATTTACCTAGCCCCGTTACGTAACATGTTTAGTATTTATTTTTTTATAATATTATAGCCTATTTGTAAATCTGATTATGAAAACAATTTTGATGGAAATTTTTTTTTTTTAATTCAATATTTTTTGGTTAAATTGAATATATATTTCTTAAATTATTTACTTATCACATAACATTAACAATTTTTGTCACACGTCGAATTAACATATTTTTTTTTTTTTTATCAAGTCTATCTGTTACACTTGTATATAAATTTTTTTAAAGGTATTGTAAACAATAATTTTTTATGAAACCAGTTTTTTATCTTTCCTTCACAGTGACGTAATTAGGAATTTGGTTTGAGGAGGGGGATTATAATATGTTTTTAGCAAAATCTGTAAGTCTCATACAGTAACCTACCCCATCAAATATAAAACGTTAGCAGTAAAATAAGTTTTTTGGGGGAATCAATCCCCTTCACAGTTTCTTTGAACCAACTATAGATATATCTTTTTCCAAACAAAGCTCAAAAAGAAAAAATCATAAACCAACTTGCCTTCTTAGTTAAGTGGACGTGATCTCGTATATGTTGTCTGCGTCTTACAACAGCAAATTTTTTGCTAATAATAATTCATCTTAATTTGTTTTTTTTTTTAAATTGGAGTAAAGTGACTCAAACATTTAAATGTGAGATTATTATAATATTACTTAGGACATCTCTATTATTATTTTTACGTAAGTTATGTTCATCTTAAAATGTAAAAATTGTACAGCTTCAAGACTTGCTTCTTCATAAAAATATCAAAGCGAACCACCGAGATACCCTCGATAAATAATTACCTTCAAATTTTATAACAGATTTATTCACGATTGGTTTTAGAATTTTCAGAGTTAACAAAGTAATCATAAAACTTAACGATAAAATATTTGAATTAACTATGAAACTATTATTTTGAATTAGTATAAAACTTGGGTTGGGTAATCCGATATAATCTGAATGTTTCTCTACTTTGTTGTGATTGTTTGGTTGATAATCGAATTCAACCATTTCAACCCTTAAAATATTATGGCTACTATATTATAAGCTACATAATTTTAAGTCGTTGTTGTAAGCAAGTCTGTACATTGGTCATAAATGCATAATGATTGCGTTTGATTACACCTATTTACACGTGGATAATGTGTATTCGTGTTTGTAATAGATTATCAAGTTCAATCCGATGAGCAAAAAAAAAAAAAAAATACACCATTAGTCACTCTTTTACGAGTGAAAATATCCAACTATCCATCAATGTCAATTACATAAATATTATTATTATAACAGTCTAACACAGTTGAATCAATATAAATTGCATCGGCTAATGCCTGATATTAGGGAATGAATATTTTATTAACTTATAAGTGACTTTCCTGATCATATTATCAGCACGGTACTTGAAACACATTATTGAAAAATATTAGGTACCTATACTAAATTCAGGAAGTTCAAACGTTAGCATTCATTAATCGACCCAATTGTAACTTGCATGTTAATTTAATACGTTGCACTTTTATGGATAACAAAGTGTTTAATCGTTATTTTACTAATATTTATGTATACAATTACATTATTATATCGACATATCTTTTAAAATTGTAATGTAATAGATTATTATGTTATTAAATATTATAATAAAATAATTATATCAAATTTTAAGCGACTAGTTATAATTAGTTATAACTTATAACAATACATTATACAATTTGCATAGGTATTTGACGGAGTTAAGTGGCACAGAATAATTCATATTTTTTTTTTTAAATTTTAAACAGAATGAATTTTTATATTTATTATTTTTCATGTCTAGGTCATATTATAGCGCTTATTTTAATTATTTTTAGTGCCAAAGATCTGAGGCCTGCTTATAAGTTATAACTAATACATTAAACTATAAAAGTCTGAGATATTTGAAATTTCAGAATATGACATTCGTTGTATATTATATTATCATTATAAAAGTCAACATAAAAAAGTGGTGAAAATTTAAATCGATTTCAAAAATTTTGTTTTGATTTCAAATTATGTAATAATTACCGTTAAAAGAATCATCAAGTATACAGATAAGAAACGCGTAAGCTAACTAAAAAATTAAGCATTTGGCAAATTAACAGTCTAAACTTAAAGTGTCTAAACAAATATTTGTATTAGATAAGGATAAAAAAATATGGTTTGACTACATTTACACAGATAAACGTTACTATAGGTTAAATGTAAAAAATAATATTACATCAGTTTAATGACAAATTTTCCGAAATGCATAATTATATAATTAATCCAAATTAATCTATAGTATTTTATATACCCACCAATTTCTTTTATTTCATAATTAATGTGTATAATTATTGTCAGAATTTTGAATGATCAGTGATCACTCGATAATAATAATAAAATAATACCGAAACATAAATTTAATAAAACAAATTTAAGGGCGTATAATTACAAAACAAAAGAGTGTAAAAATTGTTAACATAACTTTTCTGAATCCCAGCAGATTTAAACAAGTTAAATTTTCAATTTAATTTAAGAAGACACTACCAAGTACCAATGACTATTGAGTTTGACTTATCCATCTTATAATGTCCACTAACTAGTTTCAATACAGTGTGATATTATTTTTGATATAAGATTGAAATGACTTATTATAAAACTATTATTTAAGACTATATAATCTAAGTTTAAGCATCAGATTTTATTTTATTATTTCATTTTCAAGCGATATAATATTATGAGCATTTTAAATGTGTGATATTTCAAATACCTATAACGGCCATAACTCTCTTGAAAATTAAAATATCTAAAGAATTGTCGACGTTTAATCATAAATAGTATTCTTATACCAACAAGTTTGGAAATTGGTTAATTCACTCTAATATCAACAAAAAATKTTGTGTCAACAAATACATGAGTAGTGTTTTCTAATGATAATTTAATTTCGTAATTAATAATTTATACTTATTATTTCAAATTTAGTAAGCACGAACAAAACTATGCTATGTCGATCCGAGACCTAAATAGAGAAGAAACACRAGAATTATGTGAAATTAATTACTTCTTGGGAATTTAAAGTTTATAGTAAATATAAATGCAAACGGATGACGATAAATTCAACGTGACAATGGAGAATGAATATAAGGTCTGTTGTCTATATCTCTATATACAATTAATGAATTGCATTTCTAGTCACTGACCTTACTAGTAACTACTAACTAGTAGTGCACTAGAGCTCAATAGTTTAATATAAGGAAAAGAAATTACGGCTGTTAGAAAACTCGCGTAGTACTTATTACACTACTACAGGCTCCAGTAAGATCGCTTTTTTTAACGTTTTTAAAAATGGGTAAGTATAAATTACAATATAATATAGGTAATAGCCAGTAATAGGTACCTAGTTAAATTTCAATGAATTGTGATGTTAAATATTTATTAACTATACAAATATTGGCACATCGTATTTTATCATATTATTTACCAGCCGATGCGCGTATTAGATAAAATATGATATTGCCGCCATAAATTTTAATAGTCTGTTTCATCGGTATTTAATAACGTGTGTGTTTAAACTCAAACTCCTGCTTGTGATGCAGTTACTAGTTATATAAACACACGCCTTGCTACTGTTCAAACATTAAATTATTATAGGTAGGTAACCTAACCTACATACATATTTTATATAATAAATACTTTATCATWATTATTTCATTTGAAAAAGTTTCAATGGATATTTCTAACCCTGAAATTAAAAGTATTCAAATGCAACAAATAATTACGAAAATTACAAACTGGCGAGCATTGTGCTTAAATTATGCTTTTAAAATAACTTGTATGGGCGTGACAGTAATTTATCTATTTATCCTCTCGCCGCACACTTGAAAACACTAACTGTGAAAAGTATTATTTTTTAGTAAATATAATATAAAAATACAAATTGAATAATAAAAGAATGAGGATATTTTTGTCTTTTGARTTATTTATTGGCACCGATAATATCTATGAAGGTACTTAACTACACTTATATTAATGTCACATGGTTATCTACTTCATATTAACTCGTTCCTATAAATAATATTATTAAAATTTAGTTAATATAAGACAAAAGTACTTTAAAAGCATTAAGCAATTCAATAAATTATATTAAGCATAACTATCTATGTACCCAATAAAAACAACCAGCCAACAATAATTATTAATTTAGACCATCCAACATTTAATCCCATTTTATTGAATAAAATCTCATACAAATCTTGAATATCATATAATTATAAATTTTACAAGTATATRTGTAATTATTTWAAAAAAAAATTTGTTTTTGTTTTAGGTAGATACATAATAACATATACTTATTAACTGAAAACAGTGAAAACCTTTAATTTATTTAGATAACTGCATTCCAATTGTAATGTAAATTAATTTAAATAATAATTTATGATATAAATTATTTAACATAAAATTGTAAATCAATAAATTAAAAAATAATTAGTCATATTTTAACAACATTTATCGCGTGTTTAAGATTCGCTAGTTAACTTTCAATTGGTTTGCTACAACTACGATTCAATTAAATAAATTATTATATTCATAATATTGCGAGTAATATTGTTTGTACWATTGTACATTGTCAAAACATTTGTTATTGTGAGTAGTATGGTCTTGAAAGTATTGACCCACTAACCTTGTTTATCTTCTTAGGCATAGAGAAAATAACAATACCTATATATATATTATGTATATAATGGATCTCTAATCATTAGAAACTGGAACAATTTATAGCCAATTGTTGTAATGTAAATATAATTGATTAGTCATTTGTCTTAAACTTAATATCCGATCTAGTTTTATTGGTCTAATTGGCATCAGTTACACTAAATCCAAAAGAGCACATTAATTACACTGGCTGAAGAATTAATTTTTAAAGTTTATTGATTTTGTAAACAATATGATTAATATTAAATAAATCTAATAAGGCTGATCAATTGTTTAGATACATTGTTAAATTGTAAACAAAGGCTACTTAAATAAATTTATGTTGAACTTTTCACATATTAATTTCAATTAAAAAAATTAAATAAGTAATTAATTGTACACTAGTATGACTTCATGACATATATACAATCATAATATTATCAACATTTTCTATTGTTTAGGTATCATTCTAGATAGATATGGGCATGTTATTATTTAGGTAGTCACAAATAATTAAAATTTGGCAATAGAACAATCAGGGAGTGATAAAGTACCTACCTAGTTTGATTTCAATAAATATTATCACAGCTCACACAATTAATACATACAATTATAGTTTATACTAAATTGTACAAAATATTATTTATGAATGATTTTTACCTTCTATTACCATCATATCGCAACGGTTTGTCCCAAAAGGATCCAATGTAAACCCTGGCTACTTCAGGAGTTTGAAGAACTTTTCCTAAAGACCACATCAGTGCACCATAAACACGCATCAGTTGTTGGTGATCAATCATATCAGCTTTATTTAAAATAATTCTAATTTTATCGTCATGGCCTCGTAGTGCTTCTATTGATCTACGGAATTCATCAGATATGTCCAACTTGTGAGCATCAAAAAGCAAAATAATTCTATCCACATGCTCAGCAAACCACTCCAGTACACCGGTGAAGTCATAACCCCTGTCTACTCTCTGTTTTTCTCCTGATAAAATACCAGGGGTATCAACTATTGATATACCCTTTAGAACAGGAGAATTCACTAAAGAACACTGAAACCGATTGAGGAATGCGTTGCCAAACTTTGACAGAGGTCTGAATTGTCGTTTTGGGTCTACTACCAACGCGTTACCAGGAATAATTGATTCGTTTTCATCGTACATAACAGCTATAAAACGGTCTGTGGTGGGTTCGGGCCCAATGCGAATTCCGGGAAAATCGGATTCTAAGAGATGTTTTATAAATGTAGTTTTGCCCGTGGAATACTGGCCGACCAGCAGTATCATCGGTTTGGCGTCAAAGTCGGGGTCGTCCAGTTGTGGCGAGTGGAAATCGTGAAACTGGTACGCCAATTCTAAGGGCAACAGTTTGGACTTGTACTTCTCCCGTAGCCCGTCCAAAACGGACTCGTACGTCTCGATCTTCTTGCCATCATCTTTCCTTAACCAGCCCAGCATGTTCAGCAGACTCGCATAAACGAAAATAGGTATTCAAGGCACACACACGTACGTAAGCACCAAAAACGTCTCGAAATACACTGTGTCGTGTCACGCACGCACCGCATACATGACAATTAGACGGACAATCGACGAATACTAAATGTCAAATGGACCTGTCAGATTGAAATTTGGCTGATATAATACTACGGCGACGATAAAAAAAAGAAATCGTTAACAACTTTAATGACTTTAATAACAATTAATTAGTAATCACGACAACAACACTGACTATTAGTGACTTAACGTTAACACTGCAATACTGCAACACGCCAATAGTTGAATACTGTCTACTATATAGGTACAACAGTAGTTGAATAGTACAACACTGCCGCGACGGCTGAGTTGGACGTTCGCTTATCAGCAAGCCGCGATAGCGTCGCATCTTATCAAACAAGTGTACCAAGCTGCTGCCYCTTAACAGGTTTTCCGCATAGATAATATATTATCTATGGTTTTCTACGGTAACACCATACTAGGGTAATAATAATTAATATTATACACGATGAGAAATTCTATAGCGGGAAACGTTGCAAACAATGCAAACGTTTGACAACGGAGAAATTCGGACTGTCTGTTTGGTAAACGAAGCCTAAAACGAGTAAAACGTTTGCAAACATTGTAAACGCCATGAGTCTGTTTAACTCAATTAACCAGTTCCGTGATCAACATTTTTTTTTACTTTTGTGGCCATCTGGCATCTATTATACCACGACTTATTACGATTAACTTTTTTAAAAACTGTATGTCTTATACCATGGTTAAACACCAAGAGCTCTAAAAAAATAACACCAAGAATTCAACCTAACAAACGGTCCAAACGTTGGCGTATGTAGGTATTGAAATATTTGAAAAAAAAGTTTTCTGCTATARAATTTCCTCAATGATTGACACACACCACGAATTCGTGGCACAAACCGAGCCGCAGCCTAATATAATATAATATAATTACAATTTTTTTCTCCTTTTTTTACAAAAAATAATGCCATGTACTCATGTTTGATTAGCAAAATAGCCATGCAATCGTTGTAGCCAGTGACGTACTAAGGGTCCCCCGCAATTTTTAGAATACATTTTTTTATTATTAAAAAACTAAAATTTAGGGTGACATTTTGATAAAAAATAATAACATGAAGACAAATTTGTAGTCTATTAAAATTTACGATAGTCTTGTTATGTTAAGGTGTCAAGTCATCCAAATAGGTGGGGGCTTTGGGGGACTAAGTCCCCCCATATTTTTGCCAAGTCCCTCCGTTTCAAAAGTCATTAATTAGTACTGAGAATATATAATTTTTACAAAATATTATAGGAGGGGCTTTAGTCCCCCCAAAATAATTTGTCTATTTGCGCCTATGTATATAATCATTATAATCAAATTTGTAGGCATACGATCAATATAGGTAATCATTATAAATTTATTATTTATAGCGCTTCTTTATAAGAATTATAAATTATTAAATTATTGTAATATTGCCAATGGGAATTTATGAAAAGTAATAATAAACATTGTTCTGCAGCAGCATCGTTTAAAAAATACAGAAGAACTCTAAAATGTAATGAAAAACTTGTTTGTCAAGGAAAACGTGTACCTATTAAATCGGGATATCTGAATATTTATATATGTAATTAGATACTGTAGCCCTCAAGTGTTGATTAAGCCCCAAATAACTACTCACATTTTATCATTTGAAACATTTTCAACTGATAAAAAATTACTAACCTACTTCAATTTTGCTGTCTCTGGCTAAGGGATAAATAGGTACCCACATCGGCTTTCTYCGTCATGCACGTGATTAAAATGGTAAATTTACGTTCAGCATTTCATGTTTAGTTTCATTAACTTTAATATTAGTGTGAATCGATCTATTATATCATAATAACACAAAATATATTGTCTGTAGTTTGTATAGTGGTGTTTTCGATGGCTTTTGGAATAGCTGTTTATAATACTCAATTTACCTATTCTAAGTTGAAATACCAAGAAATGAAGAAAAACCCTGTAAAATGTAGACAAATCGTTATTTTAAAATTTGATCAATTTATCCAAATATTAAAATTAACGAATCTAAACTAAACGTGCGAATTACTAAACAAAATGTGCATGCTATAGATACCGTGTTTGTAAGTCTGAGATGAAAAAATTGTGACGTCTTCTTAAAATAACTTGAACTCAGCTGCCTTTGATCGTAGGTATTTAATATATTAACGCATCTAGCCAACACCCACCCTTCAATCTTCATTTCTATAGTAATTTCGTTACCTACGTCCGCCTCACTTCTACTGATATACCTACCTATTATTTGTAAATATTTACTCCTGAACCTAAGCCCGTATTTAATCAATAAATAAATATATTATCATTTATTACTGTGCTTAAAAATAAATAACATTCTTACAACAATATAAATTTAATATACTATTGTAATACATTATATTATTGTTTATTGTTATGATTAATAGTAAGTAATAGTAATAGGTCTTATATATAAGTAGGTATAGTTTTTTATGTATCATATTATGTACGTTAAATTTATCTTATTGTAATATTCACATTCCATTGAGTTTGTTTTTTTTGGTGATGCCTAATATTTCTTTGCGCAAGAAAATTAAATAAAATAAACAAATGAATATAGATCTATTATATCCATTGATTAATGAAACTGTTAGTAGGTTAGGTTAGGTTAGTAGGTTTATAAGTAATAAGTACATTAAATATTAATATACTATGTGTATAGGGATAGACATAAGACATAACTTTTGATTGCTTGTTTACTATACTATTTAGCCTTGACGTTAACATAGGTATTATTATTATTAATAATAAATTATGAATAGGTATTAGAATAAATATAATATCTAATCGGAATATACTAATATAATATAATATAATAAAATATGTATGTCGAGTTCCTTTAAACAATAATATTCGAAAAGATCAAGGTATAATATAGAACCTCAGAAGTGCCTACATAATATATGAATATATGATTCATACAATTAATTAGTCACGTAGTATTTATAGGTAGTTGGGTAACTTCTAAATGACTGCTACACTGCTATATTACATTTTCACATTACAGAATAACTCTTCCTTGATTCTTTAAATAATTTACAATTATTATCAAAATATCAATTTTATATGACTTGGTGGGTAATCAAACCATTTTAGTTAGGTACCAATATGCGTCTATGGCCTAAACCCTATGATGGAGGACCCAGTGGCATACGCAGGGGGGTGTCAGAGAGAGATTAAATAGTTTAAAGTATCTTTTMAAATTATGAAACGTTGACTAAAAAAATATCATAAATTCGTGTAGATAATAAGATATCGATACCCCTACGACACTGTAAGGAGCGATATTAAAATATATATACATAAGATACCTCTAATTGGTGCAATAAGTATCTACMTAACTATTATAAATGGGTGATATGAATAAAACTTTATGATATTAGTATATTATAATTTATATTCTAGGGAAATAAATTTGAAATCAAATTTGGGTCAGCTTTGAATAAATAAACACATACAATCATGGGAAGATGTGCTGTTGCTAAACGGTTTTCTCACTCACAACTAAATATAATATTTAAAATATTATATAATAGCTATTGTAAATAATTTCTTTTATAMATTTCTGTACAAAAAAATGAGGATGTTAGAACAGGGAATAAGATATAACTACTTGTAAGAAAACAAATATTGCGTAGAACGCTGTGAATATAATATATTCGTTGTATAAAAATAAAATACCTTAAAATTAAACTAAATATTTTGCAAAAAATATCATTGTATGTAAAAATAATATTAACTATTCAAAGATAATGGTAAGAAGTATGTTATCTATTGTCTACGATTTATATAATTTTTTATTTCAACAAAATAACTTTCACCGATATTTTTCTTAACCATTTCACCCTTTTTTAACTTCGCGTTAACTACAGTATCTTTTGGGTGTACTTTACGATTTGCCATCACCGTTCCTACACCATTCGTTTTATGATCTCAAAAATACTCTAACACCGTAGGACTACTAGGACTAGTGTAAAATCTATCCATGTAAATAGTATGGCCTTTGTCGATATACTGCTTTAATAAACGATTATATAATATAGAGGAATAGATAGGTATAATTKAATTATTTTCCTCTCTCTTTCCAGAATAAATATCAAAACTTAATGTGTATCCTGTTAGAGGATCCAAAGCAATGCATATAGTTTCATACCACATTTTTCTGGTTTATTTTTCATATACACCCTAAAATGAACTCTCTCGTGAAAAGGACACACCTCTTCATAAAAGGTGATATTTTTTCCAGGAAAAAATAATTTTGACATTTTATCATTTAAAAAATTTACATAAGACCTAATTTTATATAAACTGTCATATCCAGGTTGACCTTTTCGAACATATTAATTATGTTAATACATTTAATCATTATTTACTATGTACATAGCATGGGAAAAATACTAATAAACCTATCCCTTTTCACGAACTTAGAAGMGTACGTCGTTTGTAAGACTACAGCAGGATTAGTTGACCAATAATTTTTAATATGTGATTTTTCTACCAAACTCATGTGTAAAATTAGAGAAAAAAAAATTACACTTTGGAAATATTTAAAGGCTTCCACTTCTGCCAAATCGAATTTTTTTTTAACGTTATGTCTTTTTCGGGAYCGAATTATTGAAAATGCATAATATTTATTATTGGTTTCTTTTTTTATAAGTTCAACAATAAATTGTGGAAAATACAGTTGAAAACATTCTGACCCAGAGGAGTTATCGCTTACTTCTGAAGTGGTAACCAATTTGGTAACATACTGATTGCCAGTAAATGGATGTGGTTTAGGTTTAGAATGTTTTTGTCGCCATTTCGGAAGAGTCCCTTGTCTTCGATGAATCACTGGTAATCTATATGATGCTGGTACATGCATTGGGTGATCTTCATCTTCCTCGTCGCTTTCAAATCCCCATTTATGTGCATCAGTGGTAGAATGTTCCTTATTAAGTGGGATAGCCAAAATTAAAAATTTCATTATATTCTATAACATCTAATAATTAATAAAAATGTATCAGTTATAAAAAAATAATAATTTTCTATAAATTTCTATATAGATAAAAAAAAAAAAGAATAAACAACTAAAATAATTGACTTTAAATAAACAGCTATTCAATAATAAATTATCATTGGGTTTTTCAAAATTTTGTTGATCAAAACCATCTACGCGTAGTTCTAAAATTCGGGTTCAACAGGAGCCAATAATTACTAATTAGTAATTAGTAGGTATTATATGTTTTATTTAA